GGTATCATTCCCAACGGCCTAACATGAATTGGAATGTGTTGACTCAAAACATCCTTTTAAGCCATTGCTCACTTATCTTTACTTATGTGAGTCTGAATCGGGATGTTAGTCTAAGAGATTTTGAATAATTTAAATTTCCTGGAGGTTGCGTCATTTTCGGCTATCTTAGGCAACTGTAAACTTCAGTCCTCGCAAGCACAAGTGCTGCTGTTCGGCCTACAGTAATCAGATGCCACCCTTGTCTGAGAGCTTACTGCACACAAAAAGACATGAAATCTGACCAATCTTATTGTCGCGTAAGAATGTTACTAGCGATGGGCTTGACATAAAGGAAGCAAGGAATGTGGAACACCTCGTTGTCCTAGGAGTGGCACAATCTGATAGGTAAAAGGAATTGCCCTTTACAGTACAGTTTACCTGCAGACGCTGCTGATGCTCAGTCGTTGAAACCTTCATTCACAGGTCTTCATAATCCAATAAATGTGTTAAATGAGAGAGGATTCGTGTCCTTTTCTCTACAACTCCCAGGGAAATTTAACAATTATTTGTTCTGACCATAGTAGGTGGATTTTACTATCCCATCTTTTGGTTTTAAAAAATTTTCGAAAAGTAGATTAGTCTAACTGTGGAGAGGTCGGTATGGTTAGCACGGGTTTGCCCTTTTCATTATTAATCATGTGCGGACAGAAGAATTGCTCAGAGTTCGAGACAATGACAAACGATTTGATAATTCTGAGCCCTTGATGATTTGGATATTGACGAAGTGGGACTGATCTCCTGACAATTAGATATGCTCCAATGCATACTGAATGTGCGCTCACATTTTTAGACTGCTTTTCGATCCAACTTTATAAATAAAATGGGCTTTTAATCAATGCAATAATCATTTACGCGTCGTAATCACCAGAGATCTCATGAATATTTTCCTTCCCCTTGTCAGTTAGCCTATTTTCCTGAGTAATTCTTTTCTGCTATATTCGCCAATAAACCAACGCTTTTTAAAACAGTCCGAGTATTTTCGACTCGAAAAATTGTCAAACAATTGCAAATTCTCTCATCTAAGATGCTCCCATTTAATACGCCTGTGGCGACAGTCAAACTCGCAAAAACTTGTGGCATTAATTTCCAAACGCGAAAAAACCACCTCACAGCATCCTTTTTGGCGCCCCTGAAAGTTGATATTCTTTCACCTAATTTTCAAAATTCATCATCTGTCACAGTCGGCAATTCTGCTGACATGACTATTAACTAGCTCACAAAGTGTTTATCCGTGAAAGGATGCTTCACAAGTCTAACTGGAGGCGTCACTCAATTTTCCCGCCGCGGCACACCAACCGAACATTCCGTAAGTTTATTTCAGTTGTTTACAGGCGAATCCAGTTAGATCGCGTCCCCTCTTTGTTTTCATGGCAATCCGAATCATCTCCACCGGGGAACTGTAGCCAAGAGAATTAACCGCGTGATTTAACATCACTGACCTTTGACAGAAATTAACGATTACAAAAACAGAACTGATATGCAAATATTCAGTCAAAAATATCAAAAGTAATTGCCAAAACGTAACTGTGAGAGGTTTCAAGTCAATCACAAAACCAACAGCAGCGTGTTAGTTAGACTGATAGAAATCATCAATAAGGGCGAGAAGGCGAATGGTAATCTCCTCAGCTTTCACGAGACCGTTTGAGGCCTGCTCAATATCCATGCAGGCGGCCCGGATGCTTTCGCGGACTTTGCGAATTTTTTGTTTTGGCCGGGTATTTTGTCTGCGGCTGCGGCGATTGGCAAACCACGACGAAACCTAGCAGGGAATAACACAGCAGAGGAAAAAAATAATGCACTCCCAGGATGGGGCGGGCATTTAAAATATTTCCTCCCGAACTCTTTCGAAGACTTTTCAGTGTCTTTGTAAAACCCCACCTGGAATATGGAATGCCAGCAGCTTCCCCGTGGCTGCAGAAGGATATTGGCCTACTCGAATACGTGCAAGGCAGAACAAAAAAGATGGTCGATGGTCTAAAGCATTTATCGTACCAGGAGAGGCTGAATGTGCTTGGTTTATTTCCTCTGGACATTCCGGCTCGTCTGCGACCAAAGGTTGTTCATTAAGAACGGAGGACTTTTTGAGTTTGCCAGTACAAACCAATTACGCGGTCATCTTTACAAGTCAAGAGCGAACGCATGCAACTAGACCGTAGGAAGTTCTCATTCAGCCAACGGGTTGTCCGACCATGGAACTCGCGACCAAGTGAGATGGTGACGACTGTCACAATTCGTTTGCTATAAAAACTTGCTCGCTTAATCTTCGACAAAAATAGACTTTTACAACATGACTACTCACGGCCAGCTCTGTAAAACACTTTGTCCTACACAATTTTTCAGCACGGACTCACACTGAATAGCTGGGCTCTCTTAGTATTACAGTTCTGTTGTGACACGAACACATTCTAAATGTTCGTAACTTTATTTTGAGTGCGAATATGCGAAATTACTGCACGTAAATAGGGTCACCCAGGGCTCTGCCTCTAACCCTCCAAATACAAATACAAGTTGAGCGCTTTGTGGTGCCTTCAGCGAGGGGTCAAAAACAAGCCGAAGTACTTTCTGATTAAGAACTAGAAACTTTTTTAGTTAAAACAAGCAGTGTGAAGGCGGGAAGCAATTACAAAAAAGTGAAATGGTGGAAACCAGCAGCGGAATCTCAACGATCAGAGGGAGGGTGTTAAGGATGCCAGCATAACGTCATCTATGTACAGTAGGTGGGTTAACTCATGAAATGTCAACCGAAATTCCGAAATGCGTTTTCGTTTCGAAAAGATTGATTAAGTAGGATTGTAAAACTAGTCAGCCTACAACATAATTCTATAATATTTCAGTTACTCAGGATGCCGGCTTTCGGATGAACTTCCTTCCGGCTGAAAGCAAAAACTACACTCTGTAAAAATGACAACTTAATTAGCATGATTTTTTCTCATTGATTTTCGATGCCCCTAAAAGTCAAGTTATATTTCATGGAAAACATGCATAAAAATATTCATTCTTTTGCTCATTCAGTAGAAAATTACGTCTTCTTCAAAGCTTATACTCGACGGAAGGATATAATTCGCTTTTTAAAAATTTTTCCAATTACCGAATAATTCTGAACACGCTCTACCGTTACACTTTGATTCAGGGTTTCCAAACTACAAGCCGTATATTTTCCGAGTACGGAAAACCACACATTTCTATACGATAATAAAGGGGGACCATATAGGGTTCATAAAATTTAGCAGTGGATTTGATCTGCACTGTTAACTTTACAAACCTCATTGGTAAATGCAGAGACATGACAATTTATGAACGGCCATTTCACAGTATTTAAAAGTCCCATAATTAGAAACTTTTTTTAAAAATCGATTTTTGTCCCTCCTTTGAGTATAGACTTAGAAGAAGACGTAATTATCTGGCCAACGAGCGAGAGAATGAATATTTTTATGCATGTTTTCTATGAAATATAATTGAATTTTTAAGGGCATCGAAAATCAAGGAGAAAATGCATGCTACTTAAGTAGCCATTTTTACAAAGCACGGTTTTTTTGCATGCAACCGGAAAGACGTTCGTTCGACGGCCGGAATCCCGAGGTAACTGAATAATCAATGAATTATGCTGCACAATCATTAGTTTTACAGCCCTACTTAATTAATCTTTTCGAAACGAAAACGCATTTTGCAATTTCGGTTGACATTTCATGAGTCAGCCCACCCACAGTATGTTTTAACAATGACACACGCAGATGAGCTGATCACTTTCATCAACCACTCCGTCAGCGCCCCTTCCAGTCGTCCTGACACTGTTCTGTCATCGGCACAAGGTAAGAGATCAGAGGGTGAGTGCGACAGATGCTTCGAAAGTCTACCTCACTGCAAACTAATTCGCGATTCACCGGTCTTGCGCCCACTCTGTTAGGCACTGTGTGGGCGTCTAACTGTTAACTATAGCCCCTGCGTGCACTCAAGGTAAAAGTAATCGCTATTCTAGATGAATTTAATAATTAAGGAAATGATATGCTGACCCTCGCTTGACCTATAGAGCTATCTGGAACACCCTAGCAAAGACGTGATAGTTTAAAATCGTCAATCTTTGAATGCAAATTCGAATTATTGCTTTACGTTATGGAAACTGTGTACAGCAGCTTTTCGAAAAAAATCCGACAACGCTAATGTTGTTCAAATGATCTTGTCAGGTAGACTGAAATCACAACGTTGATAGAGGTTTCAATAATCGTTTAGCTCATTAAGGCTCCTATGTACACGGACACTGCTAACATGAACTATATTAGTGCTTTAAGGATAGCAGGTGAGTGTATTGGGAAAAATGGTCTCAGTTTTCTTTTTTTCTGACTTGCTAGATAAGAGGCTTAAAAAGACCAAAAGACGGCATAGAATTGAAAGCAGTCACTGACGTGGAAAATCAATATCATTTAAGGCAAATGCTCATGCCGATTGTTTCTTATTATGATTTTAAATGAGAATTCGCATGAATGTCCGAAAGTATTAACATTTCCGCACTTCTTTCAGTTAATTTGACAAAAGTTTAAAATGAATTATAATAGAGAAGTCTGAATGCAGACAAGAATATCTGGTTCATAACTGAACCAATAAATACGTGGGACGAAAACGGTGAAATGCCCAAGCGAGCTCGGTCTAGTGGAGAGAAAAGCCAATTAGTACTCGAGGCTACGTAGGTAAATCTTCCCCTCGATTTGTTTTATTGTGTTGGCCTTGACAGGGGCAAACCCGACAGGTCCTATCGACCCCCTATCAGAATTACATTAATCCCTCGCTATATTGCGTTTTAACTTTTGCGGCCTCACTCTATCGCGGATTTTATATGCAAGCGTACCTAAGTACACATCGCAGACTTCGGCGGACGATGGCCATTCTATTTCCGGTGCGTCCTCCTCAGTTGGTTTGCCCAGTTGATTTCATAGACGGGATGCCATCAGCGGATGTCTAAGAACCTACTCAATCAGAGCACACGGTTAAGTATCCTGGGCGCTGATTGGCTCAGCGAAGGAGAGCGGCATTTTGTGCATAGTGAAGCCCATCATTATGCCTCCAAAACGACCTATTCCCTCTAATGTCAACAACAACTGGCAACAATTGGCCATGTCGTCAGCCGAAATCAGCTGAAAATGTAAACCTTACCAGAATGCAAATAATGCGTGATTGCAGTGTTCTTATTTTAGAACTATGATACTCATATCAACAGAATAATCACAACACATCTAGTATAACTGAGTAAGTAAGTAAAATGAGGTCACTTTGTATATTACGGTAAATATAAAACTATTTTTGTTAGAACATGTATTATTACAAGGTCCCAAGACTGTTTTTCACTTATCAAGTAAAACAACTTGATGACATGACAGTCAGGCCGTCGATTTCGACGATGCCCCCCCCCCTTCCGTGTGCTCCACAGCAGGGTGAGAGCAGGGACGGCGAATTCCCCGTGAATTACTGTGTAGTGAACGTAGACCTTCGCAGCATCTACTGCACTCTTTTCCACTCCCCACCTGGGTCCGATGTCAAGACACAGTCAAGAAGACCGGAGGTGGAGGGAAGACGCAAGTGGCTAGCACGACCGGAGCCGCCAGCAGGCGTACCGCCGCAGCCCCTGAATCACAAGAACACTCGACCAAGATGTTCAACAATAGCAAAAATGGGGGAGGGAGGGCGGTAGAGATCCCCACTGGTACGGCATGAGCCTGCAACTGGGTTTGCCAATACACCCCGAATGTTGGAATTTGCTATGTGTGTGCATTCCCATAACGGCGGCCAGAATCCGATGTAGCACCCGTGGTAGTCCAGTTCATCTATTATGCGGCCCGTTTTAGGGGACAAATCCTCAATGATATACCATACGTATACTTGTGAGTCCTATATAGACAGTGTGTTTACACACATAATTTCAGCGAATCTTACCTAATTTCTAGGAGATTATAAAGGGCTTATGCTGTATAACTGTGTGAGAAATGTTTATATGGATGTGGGTGGGTTAGTAGAGACTTAAAATACAAAAAAGTGACCACGGAGGCGAATGGTTTTTATTCGTTTATTTTCACTTTTCACGGGAGGAGGGTTCTGGAACGCCGCATCCCAGATCGAGGAGGGATCAATGTAGTTCGTTAAATGTTGAAATCAAGACCACTGACCACTGCGGCAGCATAGCGTATCTATGGTCAGTTTACGATCACCCCTGACTGGGTATTACGAATGGCATGCCTTATGATCCACATGCCAGGATTGTCGAGATATGTGTCGAGAAAGAGTATCTGACAGTAGCCATTTTCTTGCGCACGATTATTAGAAGATTTTCATCACGGACTTGCTTAAAGCCAATTCTGATTGCATGCGAAATAGTAGTTTCACATGTTTTTCTGCGAATAATGCCTTACAGGAAAGGCTGCGAACCGACTGATGATCATAATCCCCCCGCAGTTGAGTCATGCATTAGCAAAAGCCAGCTTTGGGTTTTTAGTGAATGCCGGTGCTAAATTATGATAAAACAAATGTCCGTAACATACACAATACCAGTAGATTTGCTGTTATGTAGGCTACATAGTTGTGTACGGACTCTGACAGGATCAAGTTTGGCTAGAATCCCCTCGTCCAACTCCCTAAAGCGTGTTTTGAGTTCTGTTATTCCGCTCGCTGTTAAGATCGAAATTTAAGACTAATGTTATTGCTGCGTCACATTCTGGTTCAAACACGGTTAGAGTCAAGGGATGGTGAATATCAGTCGGCCTATTCACTTTGAGTGGAATAAGTCTTCTTAGATTTGCTAAAGTAAGTTTGGAAATAAGTTAAAGATGGCGACTAGAGTTAAACGTTCGCTAAAATGATGAATGAAGCTCACGGTTGGAACGACACCTTCTTTGTAAGGAAGTAGTAGGGCTGAGGTCCGAGCTCTGTCCTGAGGTCAATATCTACGATTATGGTCTGGGTATTTTAGGGCGATTGCACAAAGTAATTTTAATTGTCAATTCCACTTTTTTACTTAAAACAAATGGACTGGGGCCTAACACGTTCTGTCCCGACGGCATCCTCCCGAGTTCACTGAATATTCAGTGAAGAAACCAAAATTTGCCTGTATTACTATTCATACTTAGCACTAGGCGAAACATCCTGGGTTGTTTCAACAAATAAAATATCAAAGGGCAAGTTACAGATTGTTTTTTTAGATGTCATGGAACAGTTAGTCCCATCTGACTGTGCATTCAACCGATCACAGGGAAAGTATGATTCTGCAGCATCATAGTCGAGGAGCAAGACGCGAACACTGAGATGGTTTTTTCGGGCCGTTCACTAACGGAGACCGGGGAATCCACCGCACAGTTAGAACGTAGACACGGCCCGTCTTTACTTGGCAAAATTTTATGCGTTTATTAATTTTTCTTATTTTGCCTGCCTAGGAGACTTAAGTGTGAGCCTGTTACTTAACGAAACAGAGAGACTGTCTGCTTTTCATACTCAGCGTTGGAATAAACCTTGCTCTATGAAAAAGTGCAGTTTGCACACAGACGGCGAAAAGAGAAAATATTCCCTGCAAAACACACTTCGAAGGTTACCTGCGAAACTCTAGGTTCTGCCATTCTCTCACTTTATAAATGCTAGGTGGAGGTAAAGTTTTTTTAAATTATTCACTTTTTCAACCTACAAAAACGTAGGACACACCCTCTGGTCAACATGAGAATCCATTGAGTGGGGCGGGAGCGAAAGCAACTGGTGCGTAGAACGATGAAGTTAACCCACCGTAACTCGTCTAGTGCTTCTGCTCCTAAAACAGGCCACACGACAGCTGTGGTGTACCAACGCGGGGGTCAGACCAGGGTACACCGGGCGTTATTGGGGATGCGCACCCATAACAAATGCTACACATGGGGTGTGGTGGCACGCCCATGTGCTGTCTCACGCCGCGTCAGCCACCTGCGCCCGATTCCTCCGTCCTGTTGATTTCGTCATGACGCCTGGCTCAGAGGATGAGGCAAGAGAGTGCGATAAATGCTGCTGTTACCATTTTAAACTAATTCACGTGCTAGTCACCGTCCCTGCCCCCATCCTGCTGTGGGGCACACAGTGGACATAGTCGGAATCGACGGTCGAATCGTCAGTTGGTCAGTGAGGGTGAATCACGTCATCTTTACTATCTACTTACGGCTTCAGTTTACTAGCGGTTGCTTAAAAAATATGCATAATTCCCCTGAAACAAATGATGCCTACTGGAAAAAAGGGTAGGATCGACTTTGGGGCTCGTAAAAGCTGCCAACAACGACGTCCTAAATGGCGTTCATGAAGAAGCCAGAAGAACAACTCAACGGCCAGCATCCGACTAACGGGTCAAAACGCCCTCCCCCCGAATCACTCCAATGCGACCCAGTCGGAATTCTCACCAAGGGCACATTACAAGATGAAAGGAACATAAGTGAGGAGAAGGTGAAGCGCACTTGCTGAGTGGAAATCTCGCCAGCCCTCGCCAACAGCTGTTTGTCGTTCTGACTGGGATAAGGGTAGTCTTGGTGTGCTGTGTACCACCCCTCCATTATCTGCACGGCAAGGGGGTTCAGCGGCTTGGCCGACCTGCGCAGCTTTGATGACCTTGACGGCTGGATGGGGGTCGACGTCAATGCCAAGCAGCTGTCAATAGGCAGAAGTTTCGAGGTCTGCGGGCTGCCCTCTCTGAGACGCAGAGCGGTCGAGGCTTCCGAAAAAGCAGACATTGGATGCATCAGCATTAGTGATTCAGCGGTGGAGGGGGGTGCAGCCACCACGAAACTTGACGAGGCGACAGGCAGGCTGAACCCACTGGTACCTCCTCCTCCGAGGGGCTGCTGTTGGAAGGAGGCACTGGGGTAGCCCCCTGATGGTAGGAAGGCTTGAGGTGCACCAACACCACTACCGCTGCTGCCGGCACCCATTTCGGTGAAACTGGGGTAGTAGGCTGCTCCCGTCACCTGTAACTCGTTCAGAGGCAGTTGTGCGGACGGTTGCCTGACAGCCCTGTTCAACAAGGAGGGATTTGGTAGTCTCAGTCTGGGAGTCACCGGTTTGGGTTGCAGGTCGACGTGGTCAGCGGCCGCCACCGCAGGGGCAATGTTCTGCTGTGAGTAATCACTGAAGAATCCCGCCTCGGCTGAGTCAGCAAGAAGTTTGCTAGTGGCAGCCTCTGTTTCACTGTCGACGGCACTTCGTCCGCCAGAGTCCTCAAAGGCGGAGTCGAAGAAGGAGGCACTACCGCCGGTATAACTGTGATAGGAAATCAATGAGGAGGAGTGCGGGTAGACTTTGTGCGGCGGGCCCTCTTCGGATTTGGGTCTGAGGACGCAAGCGGTATCGTTCCTGAAGTAAGAACTGAAGTTAGAAATTCACGTCTGCCTATATTACTGAAACTCAAAATCAACAAGCTGTGCTAGAGAGTCAAAAGGAATCCAAAAAGTCGCTGTAAAACTAGAACTTCCATCAAGTCTCAATTAAGTGTAAAATTAAGCAGTAAGTTATGATTCTCCTGTTGTATCAGATAATCAGTAATGTTGAATGAGGTGGGAGTATTGCCTTTTTGCTATTGCCTATTGTTTAACTCTCGACGTCCCTCCAGACAAACTGGTTAATACTTATGAAGCCTTTCACTGGCTACCAGAGACCGTTAACTCCACTATGTAAGAAGTCAACCTAAAGGTTGCCCTGTGTGATTTTTAAAATTTACTAACTCCCACTTAACTGTACTCTGTTTACTACGGAGATTCCCTTTTATTCTTCGAAAACTGTTACCTCTTCATTTATCAAAGGCCGTAAAAGTCAGTTTGAACGTTCTTGACTTAGAAGAATGTTTACAAATGAGGATTTTTCCTTTAAAGACAAAGGCATCTCGTGCCCCGCATTAATGGTTTCTAATCTGTGCATTTTGGTCTCGCGTCATCAGCAACTACGAAAACGATGAACAATGGGCCATGTCTTGCGAGCGTTAATGGAAACGTGAGAATTCGCACGTGAATCGATCGATAAATCTACTGGCTGGATTTTCGCCTGATAAAATTGAACCGGCTGGGCACGAGGACAGGCTATATCGATTTGTTTGGCCTCCTTCAGGATCAATACAAAAAAGACGCGATGCAAACAGCTCTGTGATTGGTCGCTTAATTTCGTACGCCTCCCTTATCTCAGTAGACTAAACTCGCGTTCCGGGAGCTCGAGGCTTGAACATCATGTAAAGAAAGTGTTTGGGGGGTGCGTATTTTCCAACGCCTAAAGAGACGTAACACATCCCGAATTAGGGCAAAACTTAGGAAGTGGGTGTATTCCTATTCCTATCTGGATCCGGTAAACGAGCTTACGGACAGTATCATATTTGATGTTGTGCGTCAAAACACCAGGAAGCCACAGTTGGTTTTCTTTTTATTCAGTTATGGGGAATCCTCCCCAGATCAACTTAGAGAGCAAATAAATAGTGAGCCTTTTTTACCATTTGCCGATTCGCAGCAGGATTGGATTTAGAATACTTTGGCCGTTGCTTCAAGCAGATGCTATATAACTGCATATGTCTAACGCAAAGTAGTCAAAACCAATTTTTGTCGAAGCAGCTAGGGAAGTTGTTACTGGCAATGCCTGTCAAACATGATATTCCTCAAAAGACCAGGGACACAAAACACTCCTGCTTAGTGAAACTAGATCGACTCAACTACATAAAGAAACCTTACGGACCCCTTATAGTGAGAGGCTTCCCTTAACTATGTGGGGCCAAATTTTGAAACTTGTGAATCTGTGGCTAAATTTCTTGCAGACCGAGAAGACAGGGTCTCGGCTGATAGAGCTCGGCTCAAGTATTCGTAGCAAATTTCGTTCTGCGCCTACAGACCTTAGTTCAAACGGATTTTTCTGAGGAAATTAAAAAGAAACAAGCGCGGGATCTGTTTGTTAACCTGGCTGGGGATTACCCGACGTGCCTAAAATAGCAGAGTAGGGTGTTCAAAAAAACGCTATCTTCTAAGGAAGCAAGTCATTGGGTGTGACGATTATGCGGTCACATATCAGACGTGACCGGACACCAATCTGACAGATCGATTGGCCACGAGAGGTCAATAAATGTTGTGATATTACGATTTGGGGAAAGCCGACCACGATCAAATAATGTTCCACGGCCCTACGGAAATATCGTTGAACCCCGATTTAGTGTACAGGGAGGGGAGCAGATGATGACATACGCCTTTGAATCTGAGTACTACAGCAAAGTCATCGTAACCACTGTTCGGGTAAGCAAAGCTTTGTCAAATTTCCCGACGTCCGATGGACCATGGTCTGTCCGAGATGGCTGGACTTACTAAACGCCAATACAGCCTGCGGAAACAGTGTTTGGTCTGACAACAAAATTCCGTGTAGACCGCAGAATGCAGGGTTCTTAGAGCGCCGAAGATTTTTGGTTTTCTCAAGGGGCAATAAGACATTTTCACTGTCCGTGGGACTCAAACCTGGTCTTTTGTAGACAGTCACAGTTTTGACTAATCATTGGGCACATACCGAAGTGGGGGGTAATATCCACACCTTTATGGTTTTGTGACTAACAAGTAATGTCGAACTGCTCTGACCAAATTACGATGCCAGTAGGGGCAGAAGTAGCCCTCCCTGGGACTCACATCGAGGAATATGCTACACCAACTATATTTCAGTAAAGTAGAGAGGTACCATCAACATATGGGGTAAAGAGGATTTTCACAAATTATTAAATTACTTTTTAACGGTGTGAAAGTGATTAAATTCTGGCAGTTACAGTGTACAGTGGCGGTAGGAGACTGTTGTGGCAAAGGTAAGTGCAATGAACTTACTCTTTGTGTTTTTAGACTATTGCAAAGAAGTTGACAGTTGAATTCTCAGAGAAATAAAGTTAAAATCAAATAATTTCGGCAATATGTAAGGTGCTATGGAAGTTCCGCGACTTTTTTAATATTCTGCACGAACTTCGACGTGTTTGTTCTGCAGCTGATATTTCAGTTGGAGTTTTAAGACTTGTCTGCTTTCTTTCAAATGGGGACTAGAAAAAAAATTCCCCTTGTCAGCGAGTCGAGTTAGCGTGCGATCTTCGAGGTGGTTGACCTGTTGTTGAGTTGTTTGGGTACGGCACGGGAATATGGACCACCGTCGTGCGGGGGTCACGCCCCAAATTCCAGGTGTCAGGATCCGAATCAAGATTAGTGTTAGGGCTGGGGCAAGTAGAGTTAGGGTTATGGAAGTTGGTGGCAGAGCCATGGTTATGGAAGTTAAAGTTAGGACTAAGGTTGAGACACGGAAATAGATACCCGCTGGAGTTTGGCGAGATCAATCTGTAATATGGGGAGGGGGAGTCCGCATTCCCGTGTCCGACCTTCGTTTGACCAAACGGGACTATTTCCAGAGGCCCCGAAAAGTTGAAGAACATTATCGACCATCAAGCTCCGGGTCGGAGGACTGCGGTGCACTGGTTTTTGGACTTTAGAATCGGACATTTGGACGTCGCGCCAGAGGTATGTGTCTCAAGACTGATGAGCCAAACGTTACCGCCGTCGAGACGGCAGAGACAAATGACCTGAAAACTACCGACCGCCACTCGGCTTTAGTGCCCAGATCTTCAAGAATCAAACACAGTCCCCTTGGTTTGGGTAAGGAGGATGGTCGATGCGTTCCCCGCGTGACCTGTCCGAACGTGATAGACGACGCAGCGTTGATTTTGCCCGAAAATTCTTCTGGAACTTATATGAGGGCAATGACGTTACGTTCTCCAACTCACCATTGATGATAAGTTGCAATTATACGTGTACAGTCCCCTATTAAAATCCCAGGGCACGGGATGGTTAGAGGTTGCAGGTCTTCCACCGAAGAGACTCGAGCGTCAAAACTGACTGGAGAAGTTATGGTAGCAGTTTTTTGTTCTCTAAAACAAGATATCTTGGTGGGCGCCCGGAAGAGAATCAGGCCATGACGTCCGTTTGACAAAGTGAATTGCCCCTGCCGAAAGCTCTGTCTGACTGTGCTGTGGGACGTTCATAAACAGGACTGCTTGACGGGTTCCTGATCCATGATGTCGCACCTACATACAGGACGGAACTCGGGAAAAAATTCCCTGACTGATTTTGAAATAGGCTAATTCGAGTACGAGTCTATTCATCTTATCTCGTGCCTCGTGACTTTTATATTTTTAAAAAAGTGCTGCGTAGGAAACTCGCGGCTGTCCGTCCCCGTGGTCACCAGCGGGGCCGTTTACTCACGCCGCTTCTCATCCCATTCTGCTCTCCCTGCCAATCGTTTGCTTGAGCCGCGCTAAACTTGACAGCAGTGCGGCGAGACTTCAAGGCCAATCGGCGCTGTATCCTTCGCTGATTGGCTGCGGGCAGGCGATGCCCAGGAGCATGCACGCAGTTGGGGCAACACGTCTCGATGACTGACACTTGCCTGGTGAGAACGCCCGCTAAAACAGCTTGTTGAGCTGCGTGTACACTCTCTCGCCTCAGTAAAGCTTGTCTATCTAACTGTCGTCCCTGCTTACTGATTGTGGAACCTTCGAGTTATCGACCATTGTACTCCGACGAATTATTTCAAAGGCGGTAATCGGTCCTGGTAGTTGTGCAAATCGAACTTGCCGGGATGAAAAAAGCACGTTTCCTAGGAGTGTTTTAATGCCCTAGTTCGTTGCGTCAAAGACTGCGTCGACACTGATATCGATGGTGAGTAAAAAGCCAAAAGAGCAATGACTTTCGATCGCCAAATCACAATACAGTTCAATTCCTTGGCAGTATGTAATAAACTAAGTTCAAGCTGCACATGCTCCGAGTCACCTTGGTGTGAGGACTAGCATTTGAATTTGTCTTAGGATTTAAAAGTAGAATAGCGGGCTTCTAAGAGGGGTCTAGTGGGTTTTGAAAGATAAATGGGGACTTCAATGCTCTTTTGGTCGACCTAGAAGCTTCAACCGGAGGTGGTGATGACAATTCCTCTGAGGCAAACCTACTTGTCGTTTTTGCAATCAGGTTTAGTGAATCGGGTCCTTAACTTTCCCACATGTGTTCGCGCGAGCCAGATCCCATTCAATCTTGATTGGGTGTTTATACGAGTTGGCAAGGAAACAGTAGCTAGTGCGGCAGATCCCCACCGAGCAGACACGATAACGCGACCGTACCCGTTATTACAAAAACTCCTTCCACAGGCCGCTCATGTTTAACAAGCGCGTTCCAATCTATTTACCCTTCCCCATGGAGGACCTAGGGACTATACCTTCCCAACTACGCCGATCATTTTTAGCCTCAGGACAAGAATCTGATGTAGGTGCTGCCGGGGTTCTCACCAAAATGAACTTGGTTACCGCTAGCATTTATGTACCCACAAAAGTCTACGGGTACTTGCTCATGGATTAGGTGTAGACTTCAACGTCACACTGCCAAGAGTAGCCACCTGTGGCAGATTTATCCAGAGCCTGAGACATTATGAAATTTTTGTAAATACAGCAAAATGTGGAACAAGAAATAAATGAAAAAGGTACTTTGGTTACGTCTGTAGACACGAGAACGACCGCCAGTGCATAACTGGTATCCAAAAGATTAACGACATCTACGGTGAAAGTGATAAGATGACTACTTCATCACTTACCGAATGGTAAGCATAGACCAGACTCTCTGCACACAGTCCTTTGAAAGGTTCGTGGTCGTACCATAACCGTCCAACATGTGGCCTGAGAGATGTTAACCCTAAAATAACTAACGCTGCAGATGGCTAGAGGCAAAACCTAGTCAGCTGCCTATCCACCAGAGTCCCAGTAGACGGTTGAAGATTACCGTCAGATCAATCTCACTGATAGGGAGTGAAAAATCGAGGGGAAAATACACCGGAAGCTTTTAGGTTATTTTTTTAGGGGAGCATGTATCTGTCAATTCCGGTAGGAATGATCTCCTTAAGGGAAAAGTTTATTTCGCCATCCTCATCTCCACAGCAGTAGTCTTGAACTGCTGACTGGGCGGTTACGCAAGATGTCAGGACAATCTTTTTAGATATAAACAAGGTCTTCGACATAGTTGACCGATTGTAAAAAGGACCTTACGTTAATACCTGAGTTGAAAACGCAATTAAGGGGATGGTGAGTTTTCATGCGCACAGGAGACCGAATTGTCTGAGCTGGCAACTCATGAAAGCATTCGCTAAGAGTCAGTGTTCAGTGATCTGCCTGAGGCGATTTCCAGAAACTCGCCCATGTTTGCGGATGGCAGTTAAATTTTAGGGCACACTAGGGAGTATGCTTCTACCACGCAAGACTTAGTTAGTGCCAACACAGATTGCCGGATGGGATCTGGCAGTAGATGAACAGAAACATCAGCGGCTCATGAGCAACGCCCGGGATTAGTCTCAGATACAAAGTGCAGCGTTAGGTGAGCAAGGTATTCGACGGGTTGAATTTACATGCATTACTTATCTGGCGCAGTCGAAACCAGGCTTGCAAACTGTTGTCGGGGTATGTCTGGAACTTCTCCGTTTCCATGGCCGTGCTCTAGTCTTTGCCGAAGAAAGTTTTCACATAGTATAAAGGACGTATGCTAAGTGTTTCGGACAAGGTTAGAGGAAAATTCCAAGAGCGAGAGAGTAATCTTGTGTGTCCCATTCGAAGAGCAAAAGCAGGGCAGCGCCTATGTAGACTCCAACCTTCCGGCTTTGTGGCAGAGGCGGCAACGTGTCGATCAAATCGAAACGCGTAGAACATAGTCAACAAGGCAAGAAGTGTGGACTTTGATTTATTTTTTCTGCGTAACCACAGGCCGCCCTAAAAGCTGATAAGACTGCGTGTCTTTACCGTACTTTAGTGGGTAAGTTTTTCACCTAACGTTACAAATCCCTAGAAACAAATGACAGTAGCCCCTACGTGCCGACGGCCAGGGAAGATGGTTGACCTGTTTTTAGCATGAAGATCGTGCTTGCCGCTACTAGAACATGTATTTCTCCCGTTTTCCATATCAGCGTCTGATAGGTCACGAACCCTATGTGATAAGGCTCATGAAATGTTACCCGGAAGTCCGAAGTGCGTTTTTATGAAGGACGGGTTACTTAGATGGACTTGTGGTACTGGTAATCTTGCAGCATGATATAAAATTATCGCAGTCACGACAGAATGCCGACTTTTGGATGCGCTTCCTTCCGGCAGTCCTATATTCGAGCATACAGGTTGACGAAGACAGGATTTGCTTATGTTACTGACTGGCTGACGACGTCTGATTGGACAGACCTTCAGGCCCTTTAATTCAGAACTTCTCGCACCACACCCCTTTTTTTAGTTTAATTTTCTTGTCTCGATTTTTAACTTCCCGTAGAGCACTGCTTTCATGCGGCCGCCACTGCTGACCTCACTTCCTTAACCCCTTAATTCTATGTTTTGGCTGACGATTGAGATATTTAACTTGGCCTTTCATATTCATACCTATTTTGCTTAAAGTGGCAACCTATTCAGCTGTAGAGACGCTAGCACCGGAAATGCGAGCAGATTGGCATAACGCTGTTTCTGGCCTTTTCTGTTCCGTCCACCGGAAAGAAACCTTGCAGAATCGGCTCTAACTGGTCGAGAAACTGGCTGAAGATCACAGTATCCTCCTTCGGAAAGCAATTTTGACCTCCGACGTCTGCTGGCACCTTAGACCAATACATTAGACCCACATCGAGGCAGAGGCAAAGGAAGTGAACTAACCAAAAGTCTCATTTTCCCCAGCACCCATGATATTATGGAGGAACGATACAAAGTAGAGTCTGAAACAAAATCTCAAATGATGCTCAACTTTAAAGTATCTGGAAGATGAAGGCCTCAGTCCTGACAGGAAAAAGTGTTTTTAATGTACCTTGTCTAGAGAGAGGTTTTAGACAATGAGGTTCCAGCTTAAACACATAAACGCATACATCATGTGAATGACGGGAAGGAATCGAAAGACGTATACTTACTCCATTCCCCTGCCTTCCATCCCCGGGCCGAAGCTGACTGTAGGAGGTAACGACATCAGCTGATTGCCGTTAATATGACGTCGACTGTTATGCGTGGCTAACCCCCGTGCCCCAGGATGAACTTCTCCGGCCAGGTGATCCACGCCAGTCGCGTGGCTTAGGAAGAATGTTCATCCTGTTGAACATCATTCATATCTACGCCATTAGACTGCTTAAAAATCGATGTGCTGGGATGGATGAGTGATAATCTGACCCTCACTACCACCCAACACCGGCGAGCAGAAAATCAATAAATCGTTACGGCGATAATCCCGTCTAGAGGCGCGTGGCTGTAGAAATCTGCGCACGCATTGTGGCCCACGCGCACCTAGAAGTGGGCTAACGGCCAACGCATGCAATTTTGGCGTCAGGCGACGTTAAGTTGTTGTACGATTATGGGTCAAGGTGTCACAGGGCGCCAGAAGCACCATGTAACAAACATTTCCCTGTGAAATCATAACCGTATGGCATATGTGTGCTCATCTCAGTAGTCACTCAAGAGAGACGAGCATAGTATCGCGCTTTACGCCTTACATTAGGCGAGCTTGGGAAAAACGGAACAATTACCAACCCAACACGTAAAATGGATCATTTAATCCATAAGTTTTTACAAATACGGATGGAAATCTTGGGGTAGGCTCCATGTCTCAGGAAATGTTTGCAGAACAATATATGGCACCTGAAAGGGTCGGATGTTCGTCGTTTACTTCATTCTGTGAGTGATGTATGGGCTTTAAAGTCAGGAGTATACCGTCGAAGAACAACGGAAAAACCGTACTACTCTATTGCTAACAGTGCATAATTGTGTTCGTCGAGAAAGGAAGTTGGAATTCACTGTCAAGACAAGCCTGTCTTTTGCCGTTCCAGTGAAGTCTTTTTAAGAGGTTTCAATTTATGGCGGGCATCCCCGTTACTACAATAAATCCATAAAGTCCGATTGGATGGGCCTTGAATGCGCGGTTACAATGTGGACATGTTGGAAGGGGTTGGTGTTTGCGACGTTTATTCCTGCTAGTCCAGTCTTAAGTACCCACCGCTTCTCCTGACATCCCGTCTGGTTGGCTTTAATAATTTCTGCTTCACTTACTATGCCTGCCTGACCTATCCGACGGTCATCATAAAAGTGACAGTTCGCATGCGCTCATCATTGAAGTTCATAACGCGACGGTACTATCGAGGCTAAATCTGCTTGCACATTGGAGGCAACCTCAGAACCGGGGCAGTCGATATGTGCTTCTGCGAGCGGGCGCGGCTACCTTTAAATGGCCAAAACGGCAACTTCCGCAGTCCTGATAATCCGTGAAATGTTACTTTCCTGGTAAAAGAATTAATCCAAAGAGGCATGAACACGTGAACAAGCGTTTGGCGAAGTCTGTGGTTGCTTCCGGTTGGTTCACGACAGCCATCTTCTCCGTACTGAATGCTTCGTTGCATGTCCTCTTCAGCTCTATTGTACAGGGCGTAATCGTCGGCAAAGTAACGATTACTGCACCTGGTCTTGTAGGCATTCATGAAAGACTGCGTACCTCGGCCGTTAAATAGTCTTCCATTGGTTCAACAGTTACTGTGGTTTCCAAATCAATTCGAACGGTGGGCTAAAGAGAATTAGAGTCTGTATGTCATATTGTTTAACCTAATCTAACACAATAAAAGATTTTGAGGTCTACTAATTTCCCTTGAGGAGACCCTGCTTGTTATTACGAAGTGTACCTGCCTAGCAACACCCACCTTCTGACCTATACGCATTTCGTCATTACTTCCCGCAGCTTTTTTCCGTCTCCGCTATTGAATATCTTTGTGGAAGTGACAAAGTCAACAGGTAATTAAATCTTAATTTCTCCACATCCCTCCTGTAACAGACGAGTTGTTTTTGCTTTCTGTGTCAGGAAATTTTACATACCCATGGCGTTAGGCCGGCAGTCCAGCAGTCGTTCAGATTCGATAGTGTGTTGGCGATCGACGGCTCAGTGATTTTATCTGTAGATTTACGCACCATAGGTAAACAGAAGTTTTATAGGGATTGACCAAAGGCTGATAGTGTGTCTCCTCATACCGACGATAAGCAAACGGCGGTACTTACCAACTCTGAAGCGATAGATGGTGTAACAGTATTGGGAAGGCCTTGTTACTGATTCCAACCTACTAGCGTATTTTAAAGGTTGGATTCGCCTTACTCACGCTCCAGGCTGGGTCCGAGATGCGTCATTTAGCACAGCGTCAGGTTAGCCTGTTTTATTCTGAAAGTCTCGAAGGTTTCGACTGTGTATACTTCAAAATCGGCTAAGGAACGCTATCTGAATCCTCGAGAGCATTTCGCCTGCAAAAATTTTAGTGTTTCTTCACGTTCTCCACAGACTCTTCACAGGCTGCCACTTTGTATTTGGATTGGCCGGTGCTCTTGCTACTACTCGCATTGTCAGTAGTATATCGAACAGGTGCGTTCCCGTAGTCCAAATTCGCCACGAGGTCTGCCTCCTCATCGTCACTTAGTTGACAGCGACCCGCTGTACATTTATCTAGAATACCATGAAATTGCTTTGGCATTTCTCAATCTTCCTAAGTACGTATGTGCCGCGGTTTGATCAAAAAAACGTAATTTACTGCCAAGTCGTGTTGGCAGAGTAATCAATAACGGCCGAATAGACGTGGTAACGCAACCGAAAAAGCATATTTTGACTCAGATACCTACCGTGGCAATTTGGGCGGCGATTGACTGACTACAAGACAGACTGGACGACGGTTTAGCTCGTGAATAACGGAGCACAAACGGGCAGTCCGGAGGGGCGACCCACTCAGGTAGCTACTAGCACCCTGGAGGAGGGACACGAATATAACTCTGCGAGTACGTAGGTAAAGGCGCGGGCCAGCAATAAGGCGGAGCCTGAAGGCCTGGTTGTCTGACACCAACGCCATCAACAGGCATGTACCTCCGGGTTATCACGCGCTCCGTCCCCGCGGCCAAATTGCGCGACCTAATTCCCAGCCAAGGGTGCACGCCGTCACGGCGCCGTGAGACGGCGTGGACTCAGTCTTATCGCGAACTCCACCCCTCCACCCCTATCTCTCCTTCGACCAGAAAACTGCTCATTTGGCGCCGCATTCTCACAGTCTCTGATGATGGTCTCCTGTACGAGACCGAAAGCTCAGACTAATACATGTACTGTTCCAGTGATCGCACGTCCATCTCCTTTGAGAAATTGACTTTCTAGTTATCAATTTGCCCTTCCGTACTATCTGACGAGTACATATTGCTAATGCCTATGTTAACGTCTGCGAAGACTATAGCTCGAGGCTTCAGGACAAACTGGAATCTCGTCTTCCATCTTAATTTTAATTTAGACTAGCGAGCTCTACTTCCAATGGGAGTTTACATACAGTCGATCAAAGCCCTCAAGACGACATTCCGTGGCTCAAACAGGAGACAGTCTAACCAAAAGACAAACCGAGCCGGAACCAACATTCAGCTCGTTGTGGCCTGCGGTTCGGGCAAAGGTGGATGACGAAATCAAACAAACCAGAACTGGCTAATGTAGTCTTCAAATAAATTCATTTTTTTCGACAAAAAGGTCAAAACGTATATAAATGTGCCCCCCGTCACCGAATTATACACGATTTTCGATTATTGAAAAGGCGCACCCCGTCGAGGCCCTGCTTTCTATGCTTCTCACTCTGATGATAAGGAAGTTACCCAAATGGTAGCGAATAGGTCAATCTTATGGAGACCCATCAAACTGCGTTCCATCTTGTTCAACATTGCAGTCACACTTTTGCCGTTTTTCTGTTCAGAAGTATACAGTCATTGACCGATCTCAGGAAGTACTAACCGAAATTCGCGAATGCGTTTTCCATTAGGAAGGTTTACTTAAATGAGACGGTAGTATTGATTATCTTGTAACATAATCCAGTGATGTTTCAGACATGCCAGAGTGCCGGCTTTTGGATACTTTTCTTTTCGGTCACCTGCAAAAGCCGCATTTAGTAATAACTGACTACCTAAGCGGCATAAATTTTTTCTACAGATTTTCGGTGTCTTGTAAATTCAAATATATGTCAGAAAATCTGCATAGAAATATTATTTATTATACTCATTTAGAGCAAATCACACCTTCTTTAAACTTTATACTTGAAAAAGGGTATTTTTTGATTCTCAAAAGTTTTGTTATTCCCGAGTAATTTTGAACTTCATTTGTTGTTACATTTTCGTTTAGGTTTTGCAGTCTTAATGCTGCATACTATATGTGCACGGAAAAACAGACATTCCTTTTTATCACCAAGAAAATACCACTCGGAAATCATAAAAGGTTGTAACGAATTTGGAGTATGTCGCACACCTAATGGAGAGCATTGTTAAACAGACAGATGCAATGCCATTAAAATTGACATTGCACGGTCTTAAAAATATCAACATTAGGAACTTATTGAAACCAAAAGATGCCCTTTCTTTGAATACAGAGCTCTAAGAAGACGCAATGTGCTACAATATGAGTACAAGAAAAAATCGTTGTTGTACACGTTTTCTGTAAAATGTTTCTGAGCTCATAAGAGCATTGAAAATCGATAGGAAAATGCATACTGATTAAGTAGTCACTTTTGGCGAGTGTGGATTTTTAGATGACCGAAATAAAGTGAATCAAAAAACCCAGCGCCGCGGCATGCCTGAAATATCACGGGATTACGCCACGTGATAATCAGTATTACAACCCTACTTAAGTATGTCACCCTAGTCGAAAACGCATTTCAGAATTTCAGTTAACCTTTTCATGTGACCGGTCTCTCACTGCACTTGAAGTTTAAGTACGTTTCCTGTGCAGCCCAGTGCGCGCTGTAACGACACAGTAATGAGTTGTCATTCCTTTTTCAAACTTAGTGATTGGGATGATTCCGCGATCAAAGCCCTGTTTTGTAACAAACCTACTTCCACTCGCAGATCTACGACGACTACGAAGAGGAGATAGGAGGGGGAAAGTGCATTGAAAAGCTCAGTCAGACTCCTTGCCGCTGATCCGACTCAATATTTTACTCAATACAAGTGCCTACGAAGATGAAATTTCGATGGAATTATCTGGACCACTACCAAATTAAGGAGATTACACATCCTGAATATGTATTCAAAAGTGTGAAGCCCTGTTTTCTTCCAGGAGGTACAACCCTCCCCCCAACACCGTTAATTTGGTTGCCTTTAAAAATTAAATTGAACAACGAATAAGTGTATTTAGAGGTTTGCCAGATATAAGGGTTTCAGTCTGTTTTAACGTCTGAATCCCATTTTCATGGACTTTTGCCATGAGGAAGCCTATGTCTTTCTTCCACTGTTAGTCCACATGATTCCAGCATTTTACAGACCCCGCAACCCATTTAGGCTGCGCGAATATCTCCTAAAAACACTCATTCTCGGGGAAGGTCGGGGGGATTAATTCCAGAGTACATATATCTCCTCATCTGATGGAGTTGTGCTTGTGGACATATTCATGCAGTAAGGGGAGATCAACCGTGTTTGCGGCACACGTAGGGGAATACCTTGCGTCAGGTCAGTGACAGTGTCGGATCCAAGTTCCGGTGGGGTCGATCGGAACCAGTCCGTTGTACAAGATGGACGAGGGCCGGGGAAACGAGGCCGATGCGTCGTCTAAGTTCGCGTATCTAATGTACTTTTAAACTAACACCGTGTTCTAATGTTTGTTCCTTGTGAGGCTGTAAACCGAAATGCTAACTCCAACCTCCGCCGGAGAGAGGGTTAGGTTCCGATGGTCCCTTAGTATTACGACCCCCCATGGCAACTCTCACACGAGTGTTACCCGAGTTTAATAAATTTGACTGAGGAATCAGTACGTGTGTGGCACGCGTAGACGGGGCTTCTTGCTATTACCGACAAAGACAAGAGAGACTAGAATGACCGTTTCTTGTTTGCTAACCAGCGTCGGCCAGCCAAACCCAATCCCGAAATGTACAACACTTGGGGCTCGATCTCGCGACTTGTTAGTTAGAAGTCCACGTCTCAAACCACTGGGCCAGGGGCCCGTTATCCCGTCGTTTTCGA